AGCTCTTTTCCTGTCTTTTTCTTTCTCAAAAACATGTCCCTTTCACAGGACTGGACTCATTGTAGGTGCTCAGTAAAGACTTTTTAATTAATTGCTTAAGTTTTTGGTTATGGTCTAAGCCACTATGAGTGCACGTGAATAAGCCACTGATACAGTGCAAGACATAGAAACAATGGAAGTAAATTCATTTAGAGAAAGACCCTGTGAAAGAGACTCAAGCACTGGATGAACATTTGAAACCTAGGGTCATCTTTAACATGTTTTTGAGATTAGGTAAAACAATCTCTAGGAAGAATCAGGATTTTTATTACTTAAATGATTGTGATGACTTAGGTGTAGTCTGCCTAGTGAAAAGGGCCTCTTCATTTCTTGTAATAGGCTGTATGGTAATGGTGGCAGGTGGTAGCTTCTACCACTGCTAATAAAAGTTTGTTTCTGCATACCTAAATTGTATGTCTGGCTTGGTGCTGTACAAAGTGTTTTACGCACAAAAACTCATTTAAGCTTTATAATAGCTGTGTGAGGAAGCTACTGTTTTAGAGCCCCATTTCACAGACAGACTGGGAACTAGATAAGTTAAATAACTTGCCCAAGTCTGCACAGTGTTAGAGTTCATGTTCAAATCCAGAATGTCTGTCTCCTACGTACACTTCCTTAGTCTATGTAATACTGTCTGCTCCTAGGTCCTGCCTTTTAATCCTAGTTCTGCTGAATGATTTATGAGCTTAATTTTCCTATTCTGGTTTTAGTTTCCTCATTTATATTACTCTTTGAGATCACTGATGATGTTAACAGTCTATGTTTAGTCTTTGCCAGAAGGAGCTGCAGCAGTTTTGCTTTGGGTCAAGAGAAGTTGTGAATTCAGTTGCTTATTAGCTTCTAGTCTGGGTGTTTAGCTTTCTTAATCAAATTTCTTTTTATTAATCTTTATCAGCCTTTAATTTCCATGAAAAGGAAGGTTCTTCATTCTTTCAAACTTTAGTTGTAAACTGAATTCATTGTTAATTCTAGTGCTAATGGTCATTGTCACTACTCTTCCTGGTTTTCATTGAAATTATGGTGAATAACATCCTTTCATTGAGTACTCACCAGTCTCAAGCTAAATAATTTATATGTGTTATCCCTCGTCACCACGGTAATATTTTATAAATGAAACAGGTCTAAAGAAGTTACTAAGTTGCCACCTATCCTATATCTTATAAATGAGCGTGCTAAGACTTGATCTCAGTTCTGTCTAACGTCTGAGTTTCTGTTTTGTTTCGTTTGCTTTTTGACTTTTCTACTACCCTCATTATTTATTTCATAGACTGGGGAAAACCTGATGGTGCCTGAAGAGGCTAAACCAGGCTGGGATAATATTACAAAATTTTCCTGAGTCCTAGGGTAGCCAAAGTAGACACAGTGTAAGAAGTATATTCTCATCTGGAGTCCAAGAGAAGTGTTAATATCATTATGGGATGTGTAGATGTGTAGTATAAACCATCACATCAAAAGGGTAAGAGAACGGGGTACACTTGAGGTTAGATGAGGTGAGAGATTAAATCTTGACAGTACACAGTATGCAACAAAAATGTGTTTAAGGGATTAAAATGGCCAAAATTATAAATAGCATGTTGAGGTATCATTCTGGTTGGTCTCAGATCTTACAGTTGGCAGAAAATGGACAGCATACTTAGAGACTTTGGGTGATAAGATAGTTCTTTTCACTTGTGTTTTCTTTCCAGTGAAACTGATGTCAAACTGTCATTCTCAGTATTAACAGTTATGACCACATGTACCCTTCTGGAGGATAGAGTCTGCATCTGCCCATTTCTTCTGTTTCAGGCTAAGAACTCTCTGAAAATTGTGTTCTTACATCATGATTTGGGCTTTTTCCAGGTTTAAGACTCTTCATGCCTGAGACTTCTCTGATAGTAGGAGCTTATGTTTCCCTGTGAAAGCATGGCAGCTTCAGGGCAGGAATTTTTCCCATCCACTGAGAACCTGGTGAGCCATAGACAGCTGAGATAATTTGGGGTGTGGATGTGGGCATAGTAAATTCATTTTTTAAAAGCTGATTGTTTAGATAGGGAGGCAGGAAGATTTTTAATTAAAGGAGGTGGTACGATATTCCTGAAAGCTGGGGAAAGAATTTGCTGGTACTGTATTTTTACAAGTTGGCAGACTTGTTTAATTAGCTGATCTGCAGTGCCAGCTATGGGAAGAACAGATGTCCCTGCACATTGTGAGGTAACAAGCTCTGGATCCAAATGCCAAATGTTACCCTCAGTCTGTTGTCCCAGACGATAGAAGAGATAGTGAAGCTATTGGTTTAGAATTGAGAAGGTTTACATGGATGCTGAGTTGAGGTTTTTATCAGAATTTCTATACTCTTGTCCCCAGATACATGGCATATAAGAATTTAATCTTAAAAAAAATTAAAAAGAATTTAACCTTTACAGATATGAAGCATCTTAGGTTCATGATATGTGTTGATTTGTTATTTTGTTGAAACATGGACTTAAGTCATATTGTTCTTTTTTTATGAGAGAAATGAGTTATATGTTATAAAGGTAGCGTTTCCCAGGGCTTGGTCTATTGGTCTAGAGAATCCTTATGAATAAGTGTTACATGACAGGAAAAAAGTAGCTTGCAGTTTAATACCAGGTTGAACAAAGTTATCTGTTCTGCATAGTACCATGATGTTTGAGCTGCATGATCTTGAGCCAGTTTTTCTGAACTTTAGTTTTCAAAGCTGTAAAGTGGATAATGAAAATATTAACTCATTTTAAATTATCAGTATGAGGACTAAATGAGATTAAGCATACTAAACTCCTGGCTTGGTATTTAACATATAGTAGAATGAATACTAGATGAATTCTCTTTCAGTAGGGGGATTTCAGGAAGGTAGGATTGACTTTAAAAAAATTGTAAATGCTTGCTGCTATTGCACTAATGGTAGAAATTAGTCGTAATATGTGTCTCTACATATACATTACCCTTTGGTATTGCTGGAGAAAGTTGATGATATGAGCAAAGCTTTCCTAGCTGCATTGTCCTTAAAACCAAGCTAACTGGTTCTCCACCTTCTCCTTCTTGATAGTGAGCCGTCTGTATATGATGAGAGTGCACAGGTGGCAGCTGTAGGATTTGCACTTGAGAGGGCTGTATTTAGCCATGTGCCCCACCTTGCTAGATATAGTCATTCTAATTTGGAGGATACGTTGGCAGTGACATAAGGCTGCAGAGCACTGAGATCTCTCTTAAGTCAGATTCACGAGCATATGTGAGGAGAGTGAGAATGTTCGTAATATATACTGGGTAAAGCAGGGAGTATTCGAAGCCAGAAATACACCGTCTTGATAAAGAACTACTATTTTTTAAATCATCCAGGCTTGACTGTTTGGCCATTGTAGTGCTTCACTCCCTCATCACAGTCTCAGTTTCCAAGTCTTACTGATTATACTTCTGGAATACTGCTCAAATGTATGTTCTTTCTATTAATATCTGCTCTGTGTAGTTCAGACTTCTGTTATCTGCCCTAGGCTATTTTGTGGATGCTTCCAAACTAGTTTCTCTGATTTCTTTTTCCTCCATTCCATCAGTTTCCTGCTGCAGAACATTTGTAGCTTCACCATGCACAAAACAAATTTCAAAAATTCATATTTTGGCTCTGAAGATCTTTTATAGTCATTCCCCAGTTTGCCGTTTGAAGCCTTTTAATCCGTTTCCCATTATATTCTACCATAATTTTAACTTAAGGATAAGACAAAGAACTAAGGTTCGCTTAACATATTATTAGTGCAGAGCCAAATCTTAGTGTTCCTTATACAGTAGTACATATATTGTTTAATTTTATTCCTTACAATAACCCTGTAAATGCATTATTATTTTCATTTTACAGATGAGAAGAATTTGTCTTTTCTGGCTTTCCAGCCTTTGTAAGGCTATGCCCTTTGCTGAGTACTCATTTCCCCCATCTCCATCTTTCTATACATTATTCGATGCTTGCATCAAATGGCATCTTCCCTTTGAAAATTGTTTTCTTTCAACTTAGAATAAATCTATCTTAACTTCCATCAATCTTAGTTTATATTTCATTCGTACTACCCTCTGCTTTGATTATGTACATATCTTGTTTTCTTTTTGAAGTTTGAGCATCTGAAGAGCAGAATCTATATCCTACAAACCTCTTAGTATCTATTACAGTAGCTGATACCTAGACTAGAATAGATGGATAGGTACATAGGTAGGAAGATAGATGAATGGAAAATGTTTTTTTCTGGGCTGATATTTTACAGGTCACCCAAAGCTACAGAACTTTCTGTTTTTCTACATAATTCCTAAGCCCCAAACATGACACCTGTGACGTAAACCCTATGACCCAATTTAAAAGTCTTCCAAACTTTTGCTTATGCTGCTTTCTTTGCTTAAAGTATCTTTATCACATATTGCCTCATTTCTTTCAAGACATATCTTAGGAGTGACGCTGTTTGTGGGCAGCCTTACCAGTTTTAGTAGAGTCTTATCAGTCCATCTCCTATATAATTTTGTGGACCTTCAAGCACTGATGGATATTGGAGGATATCCTCTCATACATGATTTTTGGTACTTTTCTACTAGTTTGAATTATGTGTTATATATTTGAAAAAAATATTATTACTAGCATTTATTATAGGTATACTTCTTGCCAGGTTCTATACTAAAAGCATCATGTTTCTCATTTTATTTAATCCTTATAATAACTATATAAAATAGACACCATTATATCTGTTTCTCAAGTGAATGATGGAGAAACAACTTCAGGAAGTTTAGGTTACTTCCTGAATTCCCCTCGTTGATGTAGTGATTTGGCTGTTTTGTTTCCCTTTTGGATTATCACCTGCTGCATAATAGACCTCAATATGTATCAATTAAGTGAATGATTGAATGCATGATCATAGCTATTCTCTAAATGTTTCTTGACAGAATTAATTTATTTGAGCAGTGGAAAATGAATAATGGTTTCTTTTTCTCTTTAGCAGGAATTTGACTCTCTGGGGCATGAATACTAAGCTATTTGGTTCTGGGCTGTGCTAGCAGGACCCTTCAACAGAATTGCAATGGCCACAGCAGCCGCTTCTCACCTGAACCTGGATGCCCTCCGGGAAGTACTGGAATGCCCTATTTGTATGGAATCCTTCACAGAAGAGCAGCTGCGGCCCAAACTTCTACACTGTGGCCATACCATCTGCCGCCAGTGCCTGGAGAAGCTTCTGGCTAGTAGCATCAATGGTGTTCGATGCCCCTTTTGCAGCAAGATTACACGTATAACAAGCCTCACTCAGCTGACAGACAACTTGACAGTGCTGAAGATCATTGACACAGCTGGGCTCAGTGAGGCTGTGGGCCTGCTCATGTGCCGGTCATGTGGGCGGCGGTTACCCAGGCAGTTCTGTAGGAGTTGTGGCTTGGTGTTGTGTGAGCCCTGCCGTGAGGCAGAACACCAGCCTCCTGGTCACAGTACACTCCCTGTCAAAGAGGCAGCTGAGGAGCGGCGTCAGGACTTTGGAGAGAAGTTGACACGCCTGCGGGAACTTATGGGGGAGCTACAGCGGCGGAAGGTGGCCTTGGAAGGTGTCTCTAAGGACCTGCAAGCTAGGTATAAAGCAGTTCTTCAGGAATATGGGCATGAGGAACGCAGGGTCCAGGATGAGCTAGCTCGATCTCGGAAGTTCTTCACAAGCTCTTTGGCTGAAGTTGAGAAGTGCAATAGTCAAGTAGTGGAGGAACAGAGTTATCTGCTTAACATTGCTGAGGTACAGGCTGTGTCTCGCTGTGACTACTTCCTGGCCAAGATCAAGCAGGCCGATGTAGCACTGTTGGAGGAGACAGCTGATGAAGAGGAACCAGAGCTCACTGCGAGCCTGCCCCGGGAACTCACCCTGCAAGATGTGGAACTCCTTAAGGTGGGTCATGTTGGCCCTCTCCAAATTGGGCAAGCTGTTAAGAAGCCCCGGACAGTTAACATGGAAGATTCTTGGGCCATGGAAGCTGCAACTTCTGCTGCCTCTACCACTGTTACTTTTAGAGAGATGGACATGAGCCCTGAGGAAGTAGTTGCCAGCCCTAGGGCTTCACCTGCTAAACAGCGGGGTTCTGAGGCAGCCTCCAATATCCAACAGTGCCTCTTTCTCAAGAAGATGGGGGCCAAGGGCAGCACTCCAGGCATGTTTAATCTTCCAGTCAGTCTCTATGTGACCAGTCAAGGTGAAGTGCTGGTTGCCGACCGTGGCAACTACCGTATACAAGTTTTTACCCGCAAAGGCTTTTTAAAGGAGATCCGCCGCAGCCCCAGTGGCATTGATAGCTTTGTGCTAAGCTTTCTTGGGGCTGATTTGCCCAATCTCACTCCTCTCTCTGTGGCCATGAACTGCCATGGGCTGATTGGTGTGACTGACAGCTATGACAACTCCCTGAAGGTATATACCTTGGATGGCCACTGCGTGGCCTGTCACAGGAGCCAGCTGAGCAAACCGTGGGGCATCACAGCCCTGCCATCCGGCCAGTTTGTGGTAACTGATGTGGAAGGTGGAAAGCTTTGGTGTTTCACTGTTGATCGAGGAGCAGGGGTGGTCAAATACAGCTGTCTCTGCAGTGCTGTGCGGCCCAAGTTTGTCACCTGTGATGCTGAAGGTACCGTCTACTTCACCCAGGGCTTGGGCCTCAATCTGGAAAATCGGCAGAATGAGCACCACCTGGAAGGTGGTTTTTCCATTGGCTCTGTGGGCCCTGATGGGCAGCTGGGTCGCCAGATTAGCCACTTTTTCTCAGAAAATGAGGATTTCCGCTGCATTGCTGGCATGTGTGTGGATGCTCGTGGTGACCTCATCGTGGCTGATAGTAGTCGCAAGGAAATCCTCCATTTTCCTAAGGGCGGTGGCTATAGTGTCCTCATTCGAGAGGGGCTCACCTGCCCAGTGGGCATTGCCCTCACTCCTAAGGGGCAGCTGCTGGTCTTGGACTGCTGGGATCATTGCATCAAGATCTACAGCTACCATCTGAGAAGATATTCCACTCCTTAGAGGATGAGAAATAATATTTTCATCAGTTTCCTAGTCAATTTTCCTTCCTTTAGTTCTTGCTTATTGATGGTACTGTAGATTAGACTTGGTGTATGTCTTTTGATTCCAGCGGGATTGTCCTGGAATTTTAGAAGCTCTACCTTTCAGTGTTTGTTATTTCCTTCTCCCCATACCAACTCCAATAAATTTACAGCTTAAACAGATGCATTACTCTAAATAGGACACATGATAGTGTCAGCTGAAATTTGATTAGGAAATAGTCAATTCCATGGCTTCAGTAGTGCCACGTTAGCTGTAGTATTTGAAATTTGCCCTGGTAATGAACGCTTGTTGATTTTTTACCTTTGGGTTTTGATGTATTTTTTATTTTGTTTTGTTTCCTATTATAATGTGCTTCATCTGTGGAACTTCCTCTTCCCCTCTGGTTGCATTCTGTGTGCATGCTTCAGTTCAATCTGCTCAACCTTTCAGTGACATTTCAGACATTTACCCTGCAGCATGATATCTTAGGTTGATCAGTGTGAAAGTACATTTATTAAGGGAGATACACAATCCCTTTGGGAAGGAATACCTTTTGGCTAGGAATTTGTGCCATCTTGGATTAGTCTCTTATTACAGATGTACCAGAAAATGGACTGACCCTAGCTGGTTAGTGTTGAAGACTTCACTGGGAATCATTTGCCTTTTAAATGAACATGTGGATTAAAATTATGCCACAGCATAGGAAGACGTGAATAAGCAAGTATAAATGTTCATACATCCAGTAAACTTAATAGTGTCTAGGACTCGTTATATTTCATACTCCTTCCAACAACCTATGATAGAAGTTGTTTGAGGAATTGTAGAACACAGGCCATGACCAACAAAGTGGGGACACAGACACATTCATTTTCATTATAAAAACAAAACAACTGTTGGGTACTCTGTATTTTTCTCAAGTGAGTGCATACTACTTGGCTTTGGAATTTATTTCAGTTCTTCCAAGCATTAAATAATTGATAACTGTTTCTTCATCATTGGTGTTCATGTCTTTTAATTAAATATGGGATTTGGGGAGGCAAGGTGAAGGATAACTTGTACTATGCTATTTTGTTTCCTTGTCTGAAACTATTCTCTGCAAACTTAGGGATATACCCAGGTCAGAATTCAACTCAAAGCACCATTATATAAAGATAATCCAAATCTGACTTCCACCTGTGAACATATTTAGCCTCCAGTGTTTGCACCCTGTTCAAAACTGAGTATTCATCACATGTATATGTTTAATTTTTATAATTACAGTTCCCCAAAAAATTAAAAAAAAAAGAAAAACAGTCTTAAATATTTAAAACTAGAAGTGAAAGAATTTATGATGAGATTCTGTAACTTTGATGTTTACTAAGCAGCATAGCTTGCTTTTTAGGTGCAGAAATGATGGCAAGCAAAAAGCAAGTCTCGCTTCAAAAACAAGATTTCTAAACTGAGATACTCATTATTTTTAGAAGTATCATTGTTGCCTCCCTACCGCACTTCAGTTGTGATCAGGACAAGTAAAGAACTAGTTTGAACTAGTTTGTCTTTTTGCCTAGAGAAGACTCCATGTACTGATTATGAAATTGCATCTGGTTTTCAAAGATTGTATAATTGAGAGGAAACTGATCCAATTAAAAATACATCACTAGTTATTAGAGCCATTTTATCTGGTGGCACCTAGCAGCAGGAGATCTGTCTTTGCTGCCAGTGGAGGAATTGCTGGGGCAGTAATAGCAGCCAGGCCTTTGCCATATGGTTTGCAGCAGAAAAATGAATATGGTATTGTGGGCTGGCTTGAAGTAAACAAGGATAGGAATTCTGCAGTGACCTATGCTTTGGGAAGAAAGTGCTATTACTGATTGGCATTCAGCAGTTGGATCTGTCCCCGTCTCTAAACTGCAGTCATACTTAAATAAAGCAGGTATCTGCAGACTTACAGTGTGGTTTAAATGTTTTTGCTTCTTTTTACTCATTGATGTGAGTACTTTGAGCTGTGCTTAGTACAGTTTTGAGTTATCTGCCATGATGACTAAATTGGAAAGTATGGTCCCAGGAAACTCATTTTCTCACAGTAGTTGGTTTTGTCTTTTGTTTTGTTTTGCTTTGCTTTTTAAAGCAGTAGGATGTTATCTAACTAAAATCTTAGAGGAAAATCTGTGATATAAAAGGAATTAAAGAACGGTGGCTGTGGTTGAGGCAGACTTGTGAGGCTGGAGAACAGGCTACTTCCTCCCTTCATCACATCTGTGCTACCACTATAGAACACTTGTGAATCTACAAGTTACTTTTGTTAAGCCATCAAACTACACCATTCCTGCTTTTTCAGTTACATCTCTCTAGCCATATGGCTTTGGACAAATCACTTAACTCTGAAAAATAAAAATGACCCCTGCCTTCTAGAACGATATGAGATAACAGGTGTGAAAACTATCAGATACGTTCAAGAAATGATAGCTGCTAATAATTTATTGAATTGCTAAGAAAAGTGTTTTGCTGATGTGAGGGGTGCAACAACACCTGTTCTTTCCTTCTTGCCTACCTTGTCACTTTACAGGTTTCTATTTTGCAACCAAAATATTTCTCAGGTATTTTCTTTCTCTAACCATATGTCTCCAAACAAATCATCACCTGTTCCATTCTACGAGCTAGTCATGTTTCTAGTATTAATCAGTGTCAATATTAGTTTTCCATGTAGAGTATCTGAGCTTTATTGGAGATTAGCTAATCTTTAGCCACTAGCACATAAAAAATGTGCCAGGTTTAAAATATGTTCTCAGTGCATACACTTAGTTATCTACTCAACTTAATGGTGACTCCAGTTAATCTGAAGCTTCCTACTGCAGCCTTCTATTATTGAATAAAAAAGAATTCTCAGATAAGCCCTTTTAAAGATGTATAAAAAAGCTAATGGCAAACAGTTGTCTTAGGTTGGTTAAGCCTCTGCTTCCCTGTGTCATTTTTCAATAGTTAATGTAAAATTTAAAATACTGGAGCAGTGATTAATTAAATTTTTATTGAGCACCTTCTGTAGGCCAGGTATTTTGCCAAGTACTTAGAAAAAAATATATAAATGTATTTTTCATACATTATGCCACAGTCTTTCTTATCTAATGTACTTGAAATCCATATTTTGTTGTTTGGGATTTCTTCAAAAGCCAGGAATAGGCTGTTTCTGAATTCGATCCCAATGTATGCTTCAGTCTGAGTCTGTAGAGAGGCGCTCCATTGTTCCAATCAGAATAAACTTGGCTTGAACTATACAGTATTTCTGTGAGTAAGACAAGTAGTGCTTACATTGTTGTACTTTTTTTTTAATCTAGTGCTTATTAATAGCCTCTTAAAAGTGAACTGCTACCCAGCTCTGTAAGAAGGAAATGGAAAACAAAGCTAACTTGAGACTCAAGTCTCAACATCTGACTAGGATGGTGATTTACAGTCAGAACATGCAGACCCTCAGGGGATCTCAAAACAAATTTCAGATATGAAACATCAGATGCTTGGATGAATTTTACAAGCAGGGCAGTGGTGAGGTAGCCTTTTAGCAAAATGCACACTTAAGTCTCCAGACCTGTGGCTTTATTTTGTCAATAGCATTAATATTCATGGGACCTTGTCTAAGTATGAATCTAGGCAGCTCTGGGACTGTAGTGCACTCTAGTGGGAAGATCATTGGACTTGGAGCCAGACCTTTGTCTAAATTACAGCTCTGCCGCTCAACTAGCTGGCTGTGTGACCTCAGGCAATCACCACATCGCTGAGTATCATTTTCTCTATAAGGATGTTAAATCAAATTGCTAAAATCCCTTCTAGCTATATAATTTTGTTAACTATTGCAAAATGTGATTGAGTTTTCCCCCAGTGTTTTTGTACATTACTTATCAGAATAGTAGAAAAAAACCCTGCATTTCGGAATCAGTCCCAATTACTTGGTCCAGTTGCTTCTCTACCCCAACTATTGTGACCTTGTCTTGTTTCCCTGTTGAGCTATAGTTTCCTATCTAGTAAAAGGAAATGACAGTTTACATTTTAAAGGACAGCTACTGTGAGAATTAAACTAATGGAATAATATATTTTGAAAATGTGACTTCATTATACAAGACAGAGACTTCCTTTCCCACTATGGTAAGCTAATTAATACACATCCTTCAGGTAAATCCTGGGAAAGATTTCACACCTGTATTGGTGACATAACAACATAGTCATCACTGGTTAGCTTCTTAATTAAAAAACCTATTGGAGGTAGAGAGATTGCTGAGGGTGCTGAGGCTAAGTTCATTCACAGCAGTGCATCCCACCAGGAAAGCTACACATAAAACCTAAAGTCTTAATTATTTGATTAAAGCAATTAAGAAACATCTTGACTTTTTGAGAGATGAATCAGGATTTTTAAAAGGTTATATGCAAATACTCTGTATACATATATAGAAAAAAATTTAAGCTTAGAAACATGCATATTTAACTGTTCTTGTAGATAGCTATTTTAAAAAGAATTCTCCAGATCAACATTCATTAACTCAAATTATAAAAATAAGCCACAAATCTCATTGTTAGATGGTAAGGGAGTCCTGAGTTTGGTCCTGCTTCCCCTGTTGTTAACCCTATAACCATTACACATTTTAGCTTCTTAGCCTCAGTTTCCTTATTTGTAATACAGTGATTATTGCACATCTTACTGCACTATTGTGAAAATATGTTAGACATTAAACACTTAGGGGACACAAGCATTTTTTAAATTACAGTATGTTAAGTATATCTTAAAGCAACCATCCTTCTTTATGATACAGCAAAAAGACAAAACTGGTAAGGAGTCCATGCCTCTATCCTTAAGAAAAATTAGTGATCCACTGAAATCTTGATTGAAAACCTGAAGATTTTGTGTAAGTCAGATGCATATTTTTTTCCTCTACAAGTAAAGTAAGCATTTTCTTCTGGTGACTTAACACTTACATATTTTCACAGAGTAAGAAAATCTGAAATACTATTCCCTTATTAAATGTATAAGACACCTATTGTTCATTTTTATTAGGAATATTTAATGAGTAATGAATGCAAATGTAAATCAGTCATGAGTCTTGGCAGTCAGCTTGTGGTCTGGCTGCAAAGATAAGATACGTAAACAATGCAAATGCATTGAAGAATAAGATAAATGATACAGGAAATACTGTGTCAAGTGTTTGATCAAAAACTTTCTAGTTAAGAGGACTTGGTTGCTGAAGAACCTTGAAAGTAAGGGGAAAATCATGAAAAGACAGGATTAAAAAGTTCATACTAGAGTGAGGAAACAAAATTCAAAGGTTTAGAGATCCATTTGTTCATCACCCTTCCTATGAGTAATAATTCAAGTAGTTCTCTTTTTCTTGCCCTAGTCATGTTATTTGTGTAAGTAACCATGGCTCAATGACGCCTCATTCTTAAAGAAGTGGTATGGTATGGATTAGAATCTCCTTAGATACTTAGAGGTAGAAGGCAAAGTTTGAAAATGCATCCTCTCCTCACCTTTCTAATGTGTCTCTGAACTAGGTATCACTGAGTGGCATAGTCTCGTTAAGTCTAATACCTTTTTAAAATCCCAAAATAATATCAAATTTCTTCCCCTCAAAAGCTTAAACCAAATGAGTTTTCTAGTCTCCATATGACTTTGAGGTAGAATCAAATTCATTTTTTAACATTTGCCAACATTTTCTCTTTGTCCCCCCATATCGGAAAATGCTCATAAAAAAGCTGAAGTGCTTCCACCTCCAGTGCTAACTCAAAGTTCAAAACTATCCACAGCCCATGCATGAAAACTCTCATTTCAGCCCTGCTGCCAAGTGACTTTATAAGAGGCCAAGCTCCTCTCCTTTACCTGCTCAGGCCATTTTTGGACCTACTTAGCAGTACCCACAGCTTTCCCCAGAAGCTTCATTATGGGAGCAATAAATCTTTTCATACTTTATTTGGTATGAGTAGCATCATCAGTCTCAATATCCGTGGCAAGTTTGGGTTGGAGAATCTTCATTTTTTTATGTGAGAGGACTACAACTGTTGACACAACCTTGGCACCTAGGAGATCACAACCACCACTAGAGGGCTTTCTTTTCACTGGCTGGGTCTTGCTAGTTAGAATATTTTTGTCAATGCTGGCAAGCTTGTGCTTTGAGCTTGCCACATTTGCTTCCTCATCCATTCTATAGATCTATTCAGCTAAGTTTGAAATTTTGATGATTGGCATTTAAGAAAAGGAGAAACGTATTCCGTAGTCATTAGTCTTGGTCCAGACCTATCAGTGAGTCTCAGATTTAACTGTG